CTATATGATTCTTTTTATGTTTTTAATAACAATTTAATTAATGTTATTATAAAAGTAATAATTAAATATAGTATTATTCTATTATTATTTATAAGTATTTTTCATTTCTATTTTTATTTTGTTATTTTAAAATTAGATTAGATTATTTTGAATCATTATTAATGAAATTAAATTAAGAAGATGTAAAGGGAGAGTAAATCAAATGAACAAACAACAAAAATTAATATCATTAAATTCAATTAGTATTATAATTGATAAAATTGATGTATTATTTCATAATAGTTTATTTGTTGATTAAATATCTTTATGTAATACCAATAATAATGTCATTTCATTAGTTATTAGATTGTAACATAAAACGATAATGTAAATGAATTGAAAATTAAATATAAAATAATGCCATAAAAAATTAATATAAAGAGAAATAATTAATTTATTTAATGTTGTTTCAAGATTAATAATACAAGAAAATAAATTAATAATTAAATAAAGAAAATTTGATATAATATATAATGAAAATATAAATTATTGTAAATATGTATAAATATTATATCATTTATATTATAGATTTATTATTATCAAATTTCAAAATGATGTTTTATTTTGATAATATATTTATGTAATTGAAGATTTATTTAATTGAATAATAATTAATATTCATAATGAATTAGAAAATATAAAATGAATATAAAATTTATTATATAAATTTATTATATTGTTTATTTATATTTATTTATAACAATTAATTATTAATTTGTTATATTATTAAATTTATAACAACAACATAATTATATATTCTTTATATTAAACAAAATAAAATACATATTATGATATAACTGTTATTAAAATAAAAAAATATAAGAACAATTGTTTAATTAAATTAAAAAATATTACAAGATAAGAAATATGAAAATGAATTATAGAAATAATTTTAGTTGTGATATATATTATTTGAAATAATAATAATTATTAATAAAAATTAAAAGAAATATGAAATAATATAATATAATAACCATAACAATGATATTACAAATTACACAAATAAAAAACATTATGTAATAATTATATAATGATTATAATTGTAATGATTCAAACATACAAGATATAACATCAACTAAAAACTGTGATGACAGAAAATGATGAAGACACTAACAACAATTATAATAACATAATTTCTCAAAACAATGAAAACATAAATAAACAAATAAATGTCATTATTTAGATTATTTTTTGTTTTTTTTTTGTTTCAAGAATGTTGATTAATGAAAAAAGAAAAAATTGAATTGAATAAAAATAAATTAAACAATTAATAATATTATCACTTAATTGTTAGATAATATTTATACAAGAGATTTTAAATTAATAATTTGTTAGAAATTAAAAAATGATTGTTTTTTAATCAATAAAGTAATTAAACATAAAGTTGAGTGTAATTTTTGTATAAATGTAATAATTAACATTAAATTAATATAAAAACTTTGTTTTTCAATAAAAAATAAATAGTAAAATAAATAAACAAGAAAGTCTCATAATAAAAGAAAAATGAATAATGTTCAAATAATTTACCAACCTTAAGCTATAAAATATAATAATGCTATAACAATTACCACAACTGTGCTGTCTAGAAATAGTTATGGTAATTGTCAATATTTGTTATTAATTTAAATAATTATCAAAAATAATGCACAGATTTATTTATAAAAAAATAACAAACAGGATTATTGAAATAATTAAAATGTTATTATAATTTAAAAATAATCATACAAACTTTAAAATCTTGAAATACAATGATTGGCTAAAAATTTTTAATAATTTGTTTCATTTCTTAACATAAATATTTTTAATTTAATAACAAAAAATAATGAATGTCTTAAAGAAAAAAGAAAAAATAACTACTTTTGGATAAAAAGGTTGCATCTTTTTTATTCTCCTAAAAAGAAAAAAACCTAACTTTCAATTTAAATAACAATGAACTCTCCATTTAATATTGGAGTTACTGTTTGTGGTTCTCCAGACAGTGGAAAGACAGCGTTCATTAAAAGACTTATTGATGATGAATTTTCTGAAACAAAAATGGAAAATTATCTAGAACATGTTTGTTGTATTGTTTATCATTGATTGTCTTAGTTATTGACAAATTAGCAAAAACTAAAACAAATGACAATAGACAATTTTCCTATTCAAGTTAGTATTATTGAACGTGGTAATGAAGCATTTATGAAACAAGCAAGTACTGATCCTGGTGCTCGTGGAGATATTTTGTTTTATCTATTTAATGCTACTGACAAAGAGTCTTTTGATAATACATTAAATCTTTTCAATTATTTCGTTCGACTTAATGACAGTGCAGTTATGTATCTTGTTGCTAGTTTTACAGATTGTGGTAAACGTGCTATTAGTATGACTGAAGGGAAAGCTTCTGTAAATGATCAAGATGGTTTTTATGCAGAGATAAGTTCAAAAACAGGTGATGGAATTCAAGAATTATTGCAAACAGCAATTCACAATTACTTACAATCACAATACAAGTTTGTTTATTTTGTCAGTTTTCTTTTAGGCTATTATCTTTTTGAAACTTATCATTAGGTCAATCCAAAAAAGAGTACAAGATTACAAAGCTATAAACAAAAACGCAGGAAAGAAAACAAAGAAAGGAGGATGTTTGTTGTTATAAATTATTCCATTTTGTTCTATGGACTTTAGGAAATAACTTATTTTTCTTTTTTAGTTTTATTTTTTCTATATTTTAATTATAATTGTGAGTTTAGTTTTTTTATGTCAGAGCTAAAAATAGTAAGTTTAATGTTCTATTTTTATAGAGTAATTTTTATAATAAAGACTAATATACGATTCATAAAATATTAAAAGAGGATAGTATAGAATACAAGATTGAAAAATATTAAAATCATTTATCCAAAATAATTTTATTTTGTAACATAATAATACTATAATATTATTGACATATAATTTTTGTATGATTGAATTGAATATCTTATGATTATTCTTGTTTTTAATTTAAGTATAAACAATCTTTTTTTACTTAAGTTGTATGATTGTTCTATTAGATATTCCATAAACATTTTCATCCTGTTTATGAATTAATTAATTATTCAAAAAAGAATATATTATTTTCTATTGACTAACTGACTGTGATAATTTCTAAAACCATATATCTGTTACTTGATTACTTGAAAACTTATAATGTATTAATATGAAATGGTCATTTTTAGGATTGTTGTTGTAAAAATTTGACTAAAAACTTTCATTTTATTATTTTTTAAAAAAATCTAATAGATATTTATTGAATCTTTTTTAAAGAGTTTTGAGTTAATATTTATAATGGATAAATATTAAGAATAATACACTGTAAAAGTCTCAATAAAACTCTAATGGCTATTATGATTCGATATAGTTTGTATGTGAAATTTCAATGTTATAAAAACAATGTTTTTAATCAAGACATTTCTTTAGTCTGAAACTAGTATAATATAATTTAATCAATTGAATAAAATTTGTTCAGTGTTTATTTAATTTTGTTTTTATTATTAATCGTAATTTTATATTTTTGTTAATTTTTCTTCATTGTATTTTCCATAGATTGTATTTCTTGTTCTTTATTTTATTGTTCTATTAACAAGAATTTCTTAATTTCACAAATAGAATTATTTCAACATTCAGTTGTAAAGTACCTGATAAACTAATATTTCTTATTTTATTGAGTTAATTAGAGTAATATAAAATTTATGAAAATGATTAGTCGTCATTCTATTTTTGTATCTCACATAAGTTATAAATATGACATATATTCTTTTGTAAAATAATTAATCATTTTATACTATATTATGAAAGAATTATGTGTTTGTTTATTAGATATTCTTAATACATTATTATTACTTATCATAATTTTCTTAATAACAATAACTGAATCTATTTTTTTTTTTCTTTTTCTCTTTCGTTCTGATAATCAAGAACTGTTTCAATACTATTAAACTTAATTGTTTCTTTCAAGAAAAAAAACAACTCTCAATTTGAAGATCTTAACGAGAATGAGTATGATTTATTTCAGAAAATAAATATATTTTAAATTTTATTGTTTGGTTGTTTCTTCAAAATTCAATGCTTTTCTTTATTCTTATATTTATAATATTTTATTCTGTAATTGTTTAATACTATAGCTTGGTTGTTCTTTTAAAAAATAAAATACTGTCTTCTGTTATTCTTTTATACTCTTTTTTAATAATGAACAATTATATTATTCTATTGGTTCTTTTTGTTTATTATTCCTTTTTTAATAGACTTTAATAAAAATTCGGTATTTCATTGTTTTTTTTTTATCGCAAAAAGGTAAAAATATAAAAACAAAAAAATAGAAAAACTCAATTTTTGATAGTGAATTTGAATAAAGTTTCAGATGAGTGAAAGTGATGATGTAAGAGAAATTGATTTAATAGTTATTGATGATGACTGTTATGATAATCTTGAGATTGAAAAAAGAAAATATAGTGTAGAAGAGGAAAAGATAGAAAAATCAAATCAATTATTGGTAAACTCTCCTAATAACTCACATTGGTTTGGTTTAAAAAAAGTCAGTTTTGCAGAAACAAAAGAAAAGGAAGAGTTACAAAAAGAAACATGTAATGGTAGTGATGCTGGGTGCATGTCAAATAATGTTATATGTTGTAAAACACAAAAAATTGATTTAGATAAGTCATCATCAGAAAGCACTACATTGAATTCAAAAGACCTTCTTTTCATTGAAGATACAAAGAAATCTATACCAAAAACAACAACACCACCAAAACTACAATCTCTAATGGATAATTTTATTAAACCAAAGAACTCATTTGAGCCTCAAAGAAGTAAAACACCAGAACTAAAGAAGACTAAAACAATTAGTGATATGTTTGAAGAGATGGAACGTGCCAGTAGTCAAATACTTATTCGAACAGACACCCTTCCAATAAAATCTCGTTCTTCTATATCTAGAAGAACAACATCTTCAGATTTTTTTAGTTCAATGTTTAAAAAGAGTAACACATTGGAATCACAAGAAGGTGATCCAGTTGTTACAAAGAGAACATCATCTTTAATAGATTTATATGAAAATGACCCAACAATAATTGAAAATATAAATGAAGAAAATCCATATTATAAAAAAGTATTTAGTGAAAATGATAAGAAACAACTAATTGAAAGAGAGAAAGAACTTACAAAACAATTAAAAGAAATTGAAATATCAGACGAAACATTTGAACAAATACGAAAAATTGCATTTGAACGAGAAGAGGTAAGAGCACAATTACAAGTTATAATATCAAGAGAAACAATTCAAAAAGGAAGAAGAACAAATAGATTAAAAGAAAATGATAGAGTTGGAAGAATTCTTTTGTGGAAGAACCATGAAGCAAAAAAAGGATTTGAACCATTTAAAAGAGAAGAGAAAATACCAGATGTAGTTCAATCAACTAACATTAAATCATATCCTATATGGACAAATTGGTGGGGAGAAAATTTTCATTGGAGAGAAAGAGTAGATGAAGTATTACATAAAATATTTCATCATGAAACACTTCGACTACTTCAATACCCAGTCATTAACGCAATATTAGCTGGTCATAATGCTCTTGTATTAATGCCTACAGGAGGAGGGAAATCATTATGTTATCAATTACCATCATTATTTAAAGATGGATACACATTAGTTATATCTCCTTTAATATCTCTTATGCAAGATCAAGT